CGGACCCACTCCTTGAAGCCCTGGCCACGAATGACGGCGAAGGCTGCTCCATCGGCCTCCGCCTCGGCCCTGGCCTCAGCGGCCCAGTCGGCCAAGGGGGGCAGGCTGGGGCACTCGGCGGCCAGGGCCACGCGTGCTGCCCACTGGGCTCCGAGGGGAAGGCCCACCGTGGACGGGGGCTTGGGCGCCCTGCTGCTCGCTTGCGCTGCTCCGTCGCCGTTGCTGCTGACGTCGCCGTCGGAGCTGCAGTCGCTGCCCCCGCGCCCGCCGCCGTGGTACCGCATGAACTGCTTGACGCCCTGCAGGTAGCAGTAGTGCTCGTCGTCAGCGATGGCCCAGGCGTCGGGGTCGCTGTCCTCCAACTCGCGGACCTTGCGCGCGTGCAGGTTGCGCACGCCCTCGGAGGCCTGCCAACTGTCCTCGCACATGTCGACTGCCCGAGCCCAGCGGGCTGCCGCTCGCTCGCCAAACGGCCGAGCCGAGCTGGCGCGAGGGGGCGGGGGTGGGATCGCGCTGATACTCTCCGCTGATGCGGCCCCCCTTCCCGCCCCCGACGCCGACGCATCGCTGACGCCCTCTCCAGTGGCCCTCGCACTGCTGGCTTCCGCTGCCGCTGCGAGGCTCGCAAAGGAGTTAACTTGGGGCTGGGATGGGATCGCGCTGTCCCCGTCCGCAGATGCGTGCAGAGGTCCATCCACTCTGCCTTGTCCTGCTGCGCGTCGGGGGCGTGCAGGCGCGGCAGCCAGCCGTTGGCCAGTCGCGCCAGTGTGCGCCTGACGCCTGCCTCACCCACCTCGATGGCACTCCACCCCCCCGCGTCCACTGGGCAGGTGGCTAGCCTGCGAAGCACTGGAGGTAGGGGAGCGACGTTGCCTATGCCATTCTCCGTCTCGGTATAGCCATGGACGATGGGCGCGCCTGGGAGGGGCCTGCTGTAGTCACCCCGCTCTCCCAGCCAGCGCCTGGACTCGTGGTGGCTGTCCACCGTCCTGCGCAGCTCCTCCTCCCAGCAGTCGTGGTCGAGAAGGCCGAGCTGCTGAAGAATGCGCACCAGCTCCTGCCTGCCTGCGCCGCCGCGACGCCAGGCAGACTCGCATACTTCCCTGGCCGTCCGCAGGCGACGCCCAAAGTTCTGGGCCAGGCCCGTCGCAATGTGCGTCGGCAGCCCTAGCATGCGAAAGGTGTAGGGCACGCAATTTTCCAACCACTCGTTCTCGTCCGCGTAGTGGTCGGGGTTGCTGGGGTTGGAGACCCACCCGCGGGCACGGCGCCCGAGCACCCGCTTGTAGCGCTTGATTGCCCTGGCCTCCATCCGCCCCGCCGCCCGCTCGTCGTTGTCCAGTTGGCACTGGACGAGCCCTGCCGAAGAAACGGCATCCGAGCCTCCGCCGACGAGCTGATGGATCTGCGTGAAATAGTCGCTCAGATGCATGAGCTTCTTGCCCTTGTAGCTGGCCTTGGGCCCCTTGATGGGGCGCGCCCTGGCCTGCGTGCCGAAGCTGAAGCTCGGCGGGCCCCCGCGGCCACGGTGCAAACTGGCGTCGTCGGGCGGGATCTGGTAGATCCAGACGAGCTCGTTCTCCACTCCCTCGCATAGGGCGCGGTAGACCTCCGTCATGGCCTGCATGCCCCCCCCGCTCCGATAGCGCCCCGCAACTCGTCGTGGTTCCACTCCTTGGCTGGCATAGGCCCATATGGCCTGTCCTTGGGAAAGGCTGCGGGGCCCTTGGCGCGGAATGACTGGCCAAGGTCGCCCTGACAAGCCAAGTAGAGCTTGACCCCGATGTGGGGCCTGCGCGGGTTGGCGTAGCCCTGCTCCGTCATATTGAGGCGCTCGCACCCGCTGACGAGGTCCAGCATATCCACACTGACGATGAACCAATCGAGCTCAGATGGCTCCTTGACGGGGGAGTGCTGGCAGGTGCCCTTGCCCGAGTCGACGACGTGGCCGCCCAGCTTGCGCAGCCAGTGCCCCGCGCGGAGGTGGAACCTGTCAGGCTCGACGTTCCAGTCCCCCGCCAGGACCCAGGGCTTGCCAGTGCGCTTCAGCGTGGCTCCAACCTGCTGCAAGACGCCCTGGCTGTGCTCGCCCACGTCGTCGTTGTCCAGGTAGACCGAGCCCAGCAGGAAACCTCCAGGCACGACGCCGTTGATGTGCACGATGGTCGCGCGGCCCTCGGCCGCGTGGCAGCTGTCCTTGCTGCCGCCCGCGCCCGGCCCGCACATGCCACGCGAGGTGCGCACGGCCACGCCAGTGCCGCTGCTGACGGCGCGCTGGAGGCTTGCGCCGACCGAGCTCACCCCTGGGGTCAGCACGGCGCTCCAGCCAACCTGACGACACCACTGCTCCTGCTCCACGGCGCGGTAGCCGTTGAGGTGGTGCTCCTGGATGCACAGTGCGTCGCCGAGGTGCGCCTCCGCCACCGCCTGCTGTTGTGGGTCCTGCTGCTCGCCGAGGATGGTGGTGAAAGGGCCCCATCCGCTGCCGTTGAGGCTCACGATGGTGAAGTGAGGGCGGCTACCCCCGCTTCCCCCTTCTGCGGATCCCCGCGGAGCGGAGTCCTTGGAGGAGCTTCTGGGCACGAAGCTTGCGCATGGCGGCGGCTGCGGCGGCCTTGCCTGCAGCGTCGCCTGCCTCCTCGCCGTTGCCCACCTCGCCCGACACGGCCTCTGCTGCCCCCTCCTCGGTGGCCTCTTCCTCCAGGGAGTCCAAGATGACGTCGACGTCCTTCTCGTCGATCTCCTGCTCGTCGCCGCTCCCGTCACGCTCCGCCGCGGCACCTGCTGCGGCAACGCGCTGTGCCAGACGCCGCAACTCTGCGACTTGGCCGTCCCATTGCTCAGCGAAGCCAGGGGCGAGCATGCCTGAGCACTGGTTAAGAGCGGCGAGGAAAGCGGTGGCTCGCTCACCCTCGCTGAGCTGGGCGCCTGGGGACGCTGGGGCAGCCGTCCCTCGCGGCCCTTCCTCCCGCTGCTGTGCTTCACGCTCGCGGAGCTGTTGCGCCAGGAGGTTGTCGATGAGCGCCTGGAGCTCCTTCTCGCCGGCCTGACTCTGCGCATGTTTGCCCTCCAGCTCGAGCTCGTGGGCCTGTAGTTCGGCGAGCTGCTTGTCCGCCGCCGAGATCCTGCTCGCCAAGGCCGCCGTGGTGGCCTCCTGGTTCTTCTGCTTGCGCTCCAACTCACTGAGCTGGACTGATGTGGGCTTGGCTGCTGCCAGCTCGTTTTCCAACTGCTGCGCCTCCTGCCGTTTGGATTCGAGAATGGCCTCCGCGCCGTCCACGCCCTCGATCTTCTTGATCTCACTTCGTAGCTTGCCCAATCGGCGGACACGTTCTGACTTGTCGTCAGGCTGCGACCCGACGCCTGCCGCCCCAGCGCCACCGCCATCGACTCCTGGTCCTGCTTGGCTGCTGGTCTCCAACTTTTTGACCTTCCTCCGCAACTGGTTGAGCTCGTGGCGTTCTCTGGCGTCCAGTTGTGACATGCCACTCCACCAAGAACTCGTACCAGAACCGCTTTCCCACCAGTCGTAGCCGCAACTCCTGCAGACATGCCGAGAGCCCCAATTCTTCTTGGCTCCGCACTGAGGGCAATCCCAGACCCTGGACGCTGCACCGCTGCCGCCCGCGCCTGGAGCTTGGCCGCCCCGCTGTCCACGGCCACTACTGGTTCTGCCGCCGCCACCGCGCGCGGCACCTCGAGCACCACCTCCTCGTCCTGCCATTGGTCGAGCCCGCCGCGGCTGGGCTCCCAATCGGGCGACTGGGGCCGGGTGTCGGTGATGTAATATGGAAAGAGCTGTGGCCCCAAGGGCCACACTGAAAGCTTGGAAGATTGGGAATCTGACCCAAGAATGGACGCGACGGCTAGAGCCAGCCTCATGAGACCAGGCATCTGCCCTGATCGCGCCACCTTGAGCCAAAATGGCTACGGATGATGATGATGATGATGATGATGATGATGATGATGATGATGATGATGATGATGATGATGATGATGATGATGATGAAAATGGCGACAAGGAGGGCAGAGGCAAGGAGAGGGAGGAGGGAGGAGGGGGAGGAGGATGAGAGAAGAGAAGAGGAGAGACGAGACGCGGGGCGCTGTCTCGTCAGAGCGAGGGCCCAACACCACAAGATGGTTGGGAAAACCAGATGCGAGCTCCGGGAGGAACACTTTAAGTAAAAAGTGCAAAGTTTACTGGAGGGGGGGTCAACAATAACTATTCTTTGGAAATGGAAGTTCAACAACAACACAACCACGCAACAACAATCCACACCGCGGAAGCCCACTTCAACCACGCGCCCAGGAACAGTGAATGATCGCCCCCCCTCACTCCAAGGTGGAGTAAGCTATATGGTACGAGCTATGTGGTGCAAGCTCTGTCGCGTACGGCATAAGCTGTGTGGTATAAGCTATGTGTAAGTTGCGTCGCGCAAGCCATGTGGTGTAACCCATGTGGTGCAATCTATTTGTGGTGCGTGGAGCAAACCATGCGGCGTGAGCTCTGTTGCGCCAAAGCGGCCCCCACGGCCGCCCACCAAGCGAAGCCTCGTCACACCCGCCCAGCGCGCGGGGCAATCGCGAGGCCCCCGCCAGGCGAAACCTCGCCACATCCGCCCAACGCACGGGGCGCCCACGAGGCGTTCACGAACGCCCGCTACGCGAAACCTTGCCACACCCGGAGCGCACGGGGCGCCCACGGCCGCTCACCAGGCGAACCTCAACAGCGATCCAATCTCTTCGGTGAGCGGAGTATGACCTCCGGAAGCAACCACGGCTTGAAGCACACGTGCGAACCCCTAAATAGCAGCACTGCGTGGGGAACACATGTGGAACTGCTCGCCATTTGGGGGGCGCCTGGAAGCCGTGTTCGAGCGCAGGCTCAGGGGCCAACAACAAACGGCCAGGGATGAACACCTACTCTCTGGAATAAAGTTCGAGAGTTCCTCTGGTCAACGACTTGAAAAGATCGAGCCGTCGGAAGTCTAGGTAGAAGCCGCCCTTCGGATGTCCTGGAACAGTGAGAACGTCGCCAGGAACCGAAATGGCACAACGAAAGAGCGCTTGAGCCACGAGGGCATTGAAAGATGCACTGCCGTACCGTGGAACGTCGCGCGCTGAAAGGGTATAGTAGGACGGGTTGGAAGGAGGGGGGGCGAGATTGTGGAGAGAGGGGGCTGGAGGGATGACGATGGGGAAAAGGAAGGGAAAACAGGGGCAAGGAGGGACGGAGGGATCGGGAAGTGAGAGAGACCCTCCTCTCGTTCCTCCCTCCTCTCTCTGTTCTTCCATCTTTCTGTTCTTCATGATGCATCATGCCTCCGCTTCCTTCTGAACTCTGTGATCCTCCTCCCACATTCTTCCGTTTGCCGGTCCTGCCCTCCCTCCCTCCTCCTCCCCTTCCTCCTCCTCCTCCTCCTCCTCCTCCTCCTCCTCCTCCTCCTCCTCCTCCTCCTGAGGGGGAGGAGAAGGAACGCACGTACCCTGAGGAGGAGGAGAAGGAGGAGGTGGAGGAGGGAGGCTCAAGAGGAGGGCCCAGGGGAACACTTTCTTAGCGAAAGACCCAACCACCGCGTCTTGAGAAACGCTCTCGGTGTAACTCCTTATGCGGCCACGATCTTCGTGAGGGGTGTGCCGAAATGGGCGGGGGGACGCATGCAAACCCTGCCGCTGGGGCCTTCGGTGGAGCTCCCCATGGGGCCGCGATCCTCGTGTGGGGTGTGCATAATTGGCGTGGGGACGCATGCGAACCCTGCCGCTGGAGCCTTCGGTGGAACTCCCTATGGTGCCACGATCCTTGTGGGGGGTGTGCGAAAACCTATGGGGCGACGATCCTCGGGAGGGGTGTGCCGACATGGGCTGCGGGACGCATGCAAACCCTGCCGCTGGGACCTTCGGTGGAAGTCCCCATGGGGCCGCGATCCTCGTGAGTGGTGTGCAGAAATCAGCGTGGGGACGTATGCAAACCCTGTCGCTGGGGCCCTTGGTGGAGTTCCCTACGGGGCGACGATCCTCGGGAGGGGTGTGCCGAAATGGGCGGGGGGACGCAGGCAAACTCTGCCGCTGGGGCCTTCGGTGGAGCTCCCCATGGGGCCACGGTCTTCGCGGAGAGTGCGCCGAACTGGGCGGGGGGGCGCGTGCAAACCCTACCACTGAAGGCTTCGGTGGAGCTCCCTGCGGGGCCACGATCCTCGTGAAGGGCGTGCCGACATGGGCGGGGGGACGCATGCAAACCCTACCGCACAGGCCTTCGGTGGAGCTCCCTATGGGGCCGACGTCCTCATGAAGGGTGTGCCGACATGGGCGGGGGGGCGCATGCAAACCCTGCCGCCGGGGCCCTTTTTTTATAGCTGCGCGCCAGACTCGCACGGCGCGAGCTCAGGTCAGAGCAGCCGCCGCGCTGGCGGCCGCGGGCGCAGGCGGCAAGCGAAGCCTGGGATCGGGGAGCGGCGCGGCAAAGGAGCGAGCGGCCAAAGGGCCAACCCGCCGCCACACCGCCGTTCCCCCCGTCAGTGACCCCGCGCCCTTTGCTGCGCCTCTCTCGGCGGCAGCCCGATCCTGATCCTTTGGACCTTCCCGGGGCGATGCTGCAAGCCTCGAGCACTGTTGGGGAGCTTGCGCTCCGCGGCTGCCAACCCGCGGTGCTTGCCACCGACCGCGCGAGCTTAGCAATGGCACCTGGTGCAAGTGCGGCGCTCATTGACGGTGACCAGCTGGCGCCCGCCGTTGGCCACCCCAGGGGCCCCAGCGCCGTCGCCCGCGAAGGGCGCGGCGGCAGTGGGCCCAGGGGGGCTGCCGAAGGCCGCCGACCGAGATGGTTCGGGCGACCTCGAGCGGCGGGCGAAAGGACGGCCGCTCTGCGACGGTACCTGGCTGCTGGAACGCAGGCTCTCGGCAGACGGCGAGAGACCTGGCCCTGCTCCGCAAAACCAGACGAGGGCTGCCTGCTGCCCTGCGCGGCAGTCAGGGCTGGGCCCATCCAGAGGGGCTACTGCAGCGGGGCCCCCAGGCCCCCCCACAACCCCCCGCGGCTGCTGATCCCGCCCTCGCTGCGCGAGGCAGCGGCACGATTCCCGCTCCTCATGCCGACAATGGCCCCCGAATGGGGGCCCGCGGCAATCGGGGCGCCCGCGGGCCACTCGCCAGCCACTTCCACCACCGAGCCAGGGCCAACAAGGGCTTCTGCAGCGGGGCCCGCAGGAGGTCCAGGCTGGAGGCCCCCAAGGCCGACGGCAGCAGCGCCTGCGCATGCATCGCTCGCAGTTGGCGCCCCTGCACCCCTCTCGATCGGGCGGCTCGCACCGCTCGAGGTGGCCCCAAAGGCCGCCGACGACAGGAAGGTGATCTTCTGCTTGGTCGCCTTGGGGGCCTGAGCAACCTCGCCGACGCCGTCGGCGCCGCTGCGCTGCCCAGACTCCGCGCCGGCCGCCGCGAAGGCAGATAACGCCGCCGCCGCCGCGGCCGCCGTAGCCAAGGCTGTCCTGCCAGGTCGCTTGCGCGAGGGCCCATCAGAGGGGGGCGGGGCGTAGGGCTTCGGCACGCACTGCTTGGCCCAGATATGCGCCTTGACGGTGTCGTTGTAGGCCGTCTTGGGGCAGCGCAGGCATTGGGCGCCACCGTGGGGGATCTCGATCACCTCGTGGCCAGCGAGGAGCAGCTGCGACTCGTCGCCGAAGAGCCCCGAGACCTTCTCGTCGGAGATGTCGCCGCGACGAGCCGCAGCGACGCAGCCGGCCACGGAGATCCAGTAAAAGGCCGCATCCAGCAATGGTCTGCCTCGCCGCAATGACCTGCCGTGCATGGACTGGCGCCCCCGCTTGAGCTGCAACGAACTTGGCGCATCGATCAGCTTCCAGGTTGTGGCGCCTCGCCCTGGCCGTGACCAGGCCCTCTGCGACGTGCTCGGCCGAGGCGTGCGCCTTGACCTTGACCACCTTGAGACCCTGGTCGCCGAGGCCGCCGAACTCCTCGCGGCATGCCGCACCCGAACCCACAGTTCGGCCCGAGCTGACTTGCTGCTCGTAGTGGCCTGCGAACCACGTTCGTTGATGCCTTTCACCACGTACTCCGCGTCAAAATGAGCGACGACTGGTGGGATCGCGTGCCTGCGCAGGATGAAGAGTGACAGCAGCTCTCCTCCATCGATGGATTGAAAGGCCCCAGCAAGCGGCGAGCCAAGAGCTCGCATGGCCGACCGAGGCCCAGGGCCAACCTCCTCGCCTCCTTGGGGAAGGGCGACCACCGCACAAGCGGTGCACGCGATCCTCGTGCCACCGTCGATGAAGGCCCCGTCGGCGTACAGGTCAGGCTCAGCAAACGGCATACCCTCGTCGTAGCCTGTGATCCACTGCGCGCGCCAGGACGTCGTCAGCGGGGGGGGCCCCACTCCGTGAACGGCTCTGGTAGCCAGAGCCTCCCCAGCAGCGTGCGAATGGTGATGGGGGCGCCTCTGTCCAGGAACAGCTCCATCCCGGTGGGGAGCGCGAAGTCGGGTCCCGACCCTTGGCATCCCAGTGTCGATGCCATAGCGCGCCCAGCTTGCCAGGGCACAACGAGCAGACACAAGGCGAGCTGAGGCCCGCGGCACACCGCCGCTCGTTGAGCCACTGGCCGTCAACAAGGCATGACCTGGCGTGCCCCGCTTCGCTCGGCGCGAGCGAGCGCCACTGCCCGGCGATCATGGTGGATCCTCGCCCTGTCGTGACCTACCGACGCACCTGCGGTAGAACGACGCCGCCTGCTGCATGAATATCCTGATGCGTGGACTTCGCCAACTGAGCAAGCTGCCACCTCTCCGCCCTCCTCGTAACTAGCTGCTCGACGGTCCAGGGCGAACTCGTCGCCAGGTTGAGCCTCGCCCGCATCTGCGAGCCAGCGGATGAAATAACCGAGCGTGAAGCCGATCCCTCGGAGCGACATGACAGCTGCACCAAGCGGCCCTCGCACGCCACCCCAATGCTTGGCGACCCGTTCGTTCCACTCGAACGTGCTCTGCAGGATGGTGTTCGGGATCCACTTCTTCCGCGCCGCTTTGGCCGCTTTGGCCAGCATCATGACTGGCCCCAGGGTCGCCGCGAAGATCGGGTCGAGCGTCTTGGACCCTGCCAGCATCAGCACCACCGTGGCGTTCTTGCCTGCGGGCCGCTGCTCCACCGCGCGCAGCGTGATCGACCTCGCCTTAGCCAGCTCGCTGTGGTTGAAGCCTGCGCAGTTGACCCCATGCACGGCCGAGGGGTGGGGCCCCGTGAACGCCGCCTTGGCCGCTGCCGCGCGCCCACGCCGCAAGCCCAAGAAGCCCCTGACCCCGCCCGGGCGCAAGTCGACGTTGGCGAACCGCCGCTGCCTGAGCGCCCGGGCTGCACGGAGCCCTTCCGCGCGGGCGATGTCCAGGTTTCGCGAGTGCCGAGCCCCCTGCGCGCCAGCAATCTGGAGCAGCTGCCTGCTCACCTGCCGATGAAATCGCCCTGTGCTGCCCAGCACCTTCGACGTCTCGCCTGCTATCTTGAGCTTGACCAGCAGAGCTGGTCCACGAAGAGACGAGCGGCGCCGACCAGGTCGTCCTGAACCCTCTGGGTGCCTCCCATCTTTGGAGGACCAGATCATCCACCATGATGGCTGGAGCGACGGCCCCGAACCTGGTCACCATCTCTTCGAGCGGCTGTAAGAGCAGGAGCTTCATGAACCCTATGGCGAACGCGTCGCCAGCCAGGACTGCCTCGGACACCCCCAACCCCTGCGAGCAGCAGCCGTCCAAGTGGAGCAGCCTGGGGGCGCGGCAAAGAGAGAGAGAGAGAGAGAGAGAGAGAGAGAGAGAGAGAGAGAGAGAGAGAAAGAGAGATAGAGAAAGAAAGAGAGAGAGAGAGAGAGAGAGATCTGCAGCCTGACCAGCCAGAGCGGAAACCCGCACCTGATGGCAGCCTTGACTAGGCACGCGTGGGAGACCTGCCCGAAGGCCCTCCAGAGGTCCAGCAGGATGCTAGCAGGCGCCCAGTCTTGACCAGGATGAAGGTCACCCATCATGGCGATCCACTCGGACCGCGCCTGCTGCTGCCACGCCGCTCTGTCGCACGAACGCCCCAAGCATGCCCGCCAGAAACGGCCTGTCGTTGTCCTTCTCCCACGGCGGCAT